CTTTAAGAGCGAGGAACAGAAGAAATAATTAAGATAGTTTTGTTTATGAATTATAATATTAATGAATATTAATATTAATTCATTGTCACTATTGTTCAGATGGGCAATATTGATCTATGGCACAAGGCTCTGTCCTCTCGGGCTTTGGAAGAGCCCTTCTCTTTCTGCCTAATGTCTTTGGATGCATACAGTTAATATTTCATTAATTATGGTGGAGGGGCGTTGTGTGTACATCAATGTCTCATATGATGCATATAATTAAGGTACTTTTTGTCGAGAGCGGAAGAAAATTGGGCTTTCCCAAAGAAAAGCAGCTTGCTCCCAAAGTTGCTAACAGATTGCTTCTTAATTGAACTTGGGAGGTGAATTATATGGTGAATTAGAAAAAAGAACAACTCTGAATTTAGTGAATTGTTCCATAAAGGAAACTGTGGGATTGAATTGCAAATGCTGGACAGAAACATTTCAGCCGGGCCCCATGCATCACGGGCCCTGACCTCGGCTGTGTTTCAGTGAGAGCTGGAACAGGCCCGGAGCTCTCTTTTCAAGGCCTGCAGGGCATTCTTTCCCAGAGACCAGCTGTAAGCCTGGGTTTTTTATGCAAAGGAGACGTTTGAATAAACCTCTGTGACTAATGAAATCTACAAGGTCTTTGCATATCCTCCCACTGAAGAGGTAATTAGCAAAGATCAAATATGGGGATATATATGTATTTTTTCAAACATTTTTTTTGTCTTGCAGTCACACCCAAGGAAAAATATATCCCCATAGCCCGAATGCCCTCCTCTCCTTGCCCCCAGTCTTTGTCTGCCTTGGGCTGTTTCTCTCGTCTTTGTTCTGCGATGCCTACAGCTGCGGTCACAGCCAGAGCAACACCTGTCTTAGTGGTTCGCCAGCCTTTTACTGAAACAGAGAACCACTTTCCATCGATTTCTATGTGAGAAATGACTTTTATTAGTGTTCGTTGTGTCTGTCTCCAACTCCAGGTCTTCCATTCGTGGTGGGCTTGGGAGGAGAGGTTGGTGTTAAGAAAATAGGGTGAGATGAGGCTTCCTCTTGCAGGGTTCTCTGAGCAGCAGAGCTCAATGTTAGCTACACCTTTGAATCACCTGGGGAGTTTTTAAAACTCCGTATGCCCAAGCCATGCCACAGGCCAATTGAATAAGAACCTCTGGGGGTGGGACGCAGATGTCAGTATTTTCTTAAAGGCTTCCCAGATGATTCAAAATTGTAGTCAAAGTTGAGAGCCATTGTTGTGAGAATAGCTACCTCCCTCTCTCCATAAAAGCTGATAAAGACAATTTTTTCCAACAGTTAAGCTGAGTTAAAAATAATTGATTTCTGTTTCTAAACACTGCCTACCTGGCTCATTTGTCCATCCCTCCCTCCCTCCCATATTTTATTAGTACCTGCCATGTGCCAAGCCGGGTGCCGGGTATTCACTGTTAGACAAAACTAGATCCCTTCTGTCAAGATGCTAAAAGCTAAAATCTAGACCCTGAGGGCTTGAGCTGAGTAAATGGGAGATCCCAGCAGCTCTGGTGAGGGTGGAGCATGAGCCCAGGGGGCTGTGGGAGCAGAGAAGAAGGGCTAGCGCTGGGCACAGGTGGGAATGGGGTGGCAGGTGGGAACACGGTGGCAGGAGAGGAGACCCGCAGGGCCATAGCACTAAGGCTCCATCGGTCGTGCTGGGAAGTGGGGCTCATCCCGAGGGCCGTGGAGAGACACAGAAGGGCTTTCATCAGGGGAGCGGCCAAACCACATCAACTCCAGGTACATCCCAGTCTCATATAGCACTGGAAGCCTGAGATATGCTGTTCTTTTTTGAAAAAAGATAGAATTGCCTACCTCTTATTGATAAGGACATGTTTTCTCAGCACATGGTCTGTGCCTAATTGGCCCATAGCAAACACTGATTCTTTCCCATCCTCTGTGGGGCACCTGGGCCCCCCGCACTCCTGAGCCTTGCTCCTGTTGCAACCTCAAGCACCAGAAAGCCGAGGGAACCAGAAGTCCTCATCCTCCTTCCCTCCTCTGCCCGTTGCAGAGCCGAATATCAATCTCTCCCAGCCCTGGCTTCCTCAATCACAGCCTCCAGTGCCCCTTGAACCTGGACTGTGCCCAGGTACCCTTGTGAGTCTATTTTTTTTTTTTTTTTGCTCCCACATCGTTTTTGCAGGAACCAAGCAGGTCTAAACTTGCCAACCCCCCATGCCGGGCTTCCAGAGCTTTATGGAATCTCATTTCAAATGCCAGCTCCTGCCCACTACTACTCCGCCATGTATAAAATCGGTGCAGTTACAAAGCCCTCTCATGTCCTCTGGTTCCCATCAAGTTCACTCAGAATAAAAGCCAGGTCCTGAAAGTGGCCTGCAAGGCCCCACATGGGTGACCCTCCAGACGCTCCTCTGCCCACTGACCTACCAGCCCCTCGCTGGTTCCAGTCACGCCACTTCCCTACGCCAAGCGCACTCCCTCCCCAGTCTGCACGCCTGCTGTCCCCTGTTTGGAATGCTCTTCTCCAGACTTCCTCCTTAGTGTTCCCTGCCCCCTCACCCTCATTTATCTTCTTTGTAGCATTTATCAACAGCTGACTTAAATGTCTAGTGGCCGGTTTGTTTATCATTTTCTCCCCTGCCCTTCATCAGAACAGAATTTCCATGAGGTCAGGGTACAGTTTCTTCAGTGTCGTATCCTGAACAACAGAAACAGCGTCTGCCCAGAGCAGGTGCCGGATAAATACTTGTTGAATGAACGAATGCCTAAACAAGCGCATTACCTCATTTGGTCCTGCGACAGCCCATTAGACAGATGGAGAGTGTGGACGCCCGAGTTCTCAGCGGCGCTTTGCACAGCTGGGCGGTGGCTCAGCAGACCGGCCGACCCCTGCGCGCTTCCACGCCACAGGTGGCCATTCCTCTGCTGGGGGACGATTTCATACCATCAGGATTTCCCCCGACCTTTAGCTGGAGAGGAAATGATATCGCAACTGGAAGAATACCCAGAGGGCCGGGAGCTGGCAGCGAACGCCCCGGCAGCTGCAGGGAGCGCGTGAGTGGATTCCGGCTTGGCCAGGAGGCAGGGGCCAGCGGGATGCAGGCGCGGAGCCTCCTGTCCCTGCCTCGCCTTCGCGGGACCTTCTCTACAGGAGGCCCGGAAGCTGCGGCCACTGCCAACAGCGCAGTCACCATCACGCAGAGGGCGGGGGTGGCCTGCATGTCAGGTGTTGGGACACGTGGGACCACGTGGCCGTCTCCAGGGTTGTGTGGACCCAGAGCGGGTTCCCTGTCGGGGAGCGTGGTGCCGCGCGCACCTTGGCTGAGCAGTGCTGGCAGCTGCTGGCTGTGGGCACAGGGAAGATCGCGGGCTTTCTGACCAGGACATGTGTCCTGACCCTGCAGCTCCCCTCATGGGCTGGGTTATCTCTGGGCTAACCATTTTGGGCCTCAGTTTCCTTCTCTGTAAAATGGGCTTACACTGCAGCTGCCATAACGCATTCTCATCAGGGTCAAAGGGGATCCTGGGAACTGCTCTGTAAGCTGCAAGGTTTTAAACAAATGTAAGAAATATTCTTTTGTTTGTAAGGAGATTGTCCTTTGGTTGCTTCCATGTGGTTCCTTGTGTATAATAATCTCTCCAGGACACAGTCTTTGTCCTCAAATTTGCTCCCTGGTGTCACTACCACCCAGTTTCTCACACCCCAAGTGCAGGAGTCACTGGTGGCCCCTCTCAGCCCTCACATGGACCCATCAGCCCCTCCCGTTAGCTCTGCCTGTGACTAAACCCCTAACACGACAGGGCCCGGCGCCTCTCTTGCAGTGCCGGGTCCATGCCACCACCGTCTCTCGCCTGGACCCTTGCAAAGCTCCCTACTGATCACGTGGCTTCCACTCTTGCCTGCCTGTACCCCAGAGCACTCTTGGTAAAATACAAATAAAAACACATCCCTCTCCTGCTTTAAACCCTCCTGTGTAACAAAGAGAATAAAGTCGAAGGCCACAGCCTGGCTGGCAAGGCTCTGTGGGCCTGGCCTTCCTCTCTGGCCAGTGTCCCCTCCCCGTGGTGAGCTCAGACCTGGCCCGGGCTTCTTCCCCATCCTTCCTCTGCTGGGGTGCCCTGGCCCAGATCTCCACGTATGGCCACCTGGATCTTCCTGCCTTTCAGATCTGACCCCCAACACCAGCTCCCCAAGGGCCCCTCCCGCCACGCTCTACCACACACCGAATTACTTGATGCCCTTCTTTGGAGCATTTTCCCAACCTGTAATTATCTTATCCATTTATTTTCTTACTTGCCGTTTATCATCTACCTCCCATTTAGAACACACACATCTTGAGGGCAGGAGCAAGTCTGTCTTGCTCGCTGCTCGATCCACGGTGCTTGGACTTATACCTGGCACGTAGTAGGTCAAATAAATATTTGGTGATTGGCCATCTTCCTGATGGAGACAGATGCTAACACGGTTTACGGATGATGGCCGCTGCAAGCACCACTGTCCTAGGTGGACACAGTGTCTACAGAGTCTAATTTATAAAATAAACACAGCAGTTTCTAAAGGGGACTCACCCCAGGAGGAAACCAAAAAGCCCAAGAGTGCCTCGGATACCAAGGCAGCAGCCACTGACCCCTCATGTGTTCAGCAGCAGCACCAGGTGGACCCCAGACCCACAGGGGTCCTCTTTGCATTTGGCCTTTCTTAGGCAGGTGGGGTGAGAGAGCTGACTTTGGGGTTGCATGTTAACTTTGTAAATTTTACTCTGAGTGCCCTTAAGCCGATCAAAGAGAATAATACTTTTATTCATTGTGAGTGATGTGTGTGGGTATCCAAAGCAGGTTCACTTTTGCCCTTGCGTCTAGATCAGTGCCTGGCACATGGTTGGCCCAACCTTTGTTGAACAAATGTTACTGATCCACGGTGATTCTGATCATCGCCCAGGTGGCTGGGTCTGCTCCCTCATCCCTGATGGGTCCTCACACTCCCTCCTTCTCTGTTCCTTTAGGTGGGCTTGGAGAGCAGCCATCTGAGAACTGGCCAAATGCCACAGCCACGAACACCAGCGTTGAGGAAGCTCGAAAGGGTAATATGAGGCTCCACCAGGTCTTTGGGTACCTTTTGTTTTTTTCAGTTGTGGAAAAATACACATAACATGGATTTAATATTATAACCATTTTAGAGCGTGCCATTTAGTGGCAGTAGGTACGTTCACAATGTCGTGCAACCATCAGCCCTGTCTAGTTCCTGCACTTTTTCATCACCCCTAAAGGAGACGCTGCACCCACTCAGCAGTCACTCCCACGTCCCCCTTCCCCAGTCCCTGGCCTTGGAGAGCTCGTGTTGTGCCTTTTCCTATCTCAGCGGCTGGAATGGACTAGAAGCACTGACGTCTGTGGACACAGTGGGGGTTGGGCGGAGTGTTTCCTCTGTCGAGTGGGGCTGGCTTGCTGCCAGAAGGGGGGATGGAAGGGCGGCATTTGGTGGTCAGGGACCGTACGGCCCTCAGGAAACTCCGCTTTCATGGCTGGACTTTACTGTCCAGTGCGTGGCATACGAGTTGAAGTCCTGACAGGGGAGATGTTGAGGTTTTGGGAACTGGGTGTCTGAGAGAATGAGTGGGCGTGGGAGGCAAGGAAGGGAATTGAAGCTGGAGGGTGCATAGACTAGAGACCCCGTGGGCTGCAGGGGGCGTGGGGACAGGTGAGGGGCTGGCTGCTTTTGGCCAGGGGCCCCTATCAGCCCGGAGCCTGCCTGGAAGCGCCACCCTAGCCCACCTGCGCCCAGACGCTCAGACGTGAGCGTGGTCTGCCAGTTCTTAGAGTTTCTAGCTTGGAGATCACTGGAAGCATCTCATGTTTTGGAGAAGTTTTCCTGTTCAGAAACCGTGCTGGGGGAGAGAGGCTGCGGGGCCTCTGTCTGGCCTGCACCCTGCAGGAATCGGGACTCACAGCTGGCAGCAGCGCTTCTACATGAAGTCACTGCAAAGCAAAAGGGATCATTTTTAGATGCCAGAATCCCATGTTTCGGGGATCCCAATGTAGGGATGAAATAGAAATCATTATTTGCTTTATGTTTTTGCTTTCATGCTATTTTGCATTTTTACATACACATGGCATATATATATATATATATATACAATTTCACACAAATGTATAAATGTGATATCATCATATACTTTTTTTTAGTGTTATTTTTTTCCTTTTTTCTTTAATTTGGCTACCTCCTTTAGTTCCTTTTTTCGATATATCACCTCTCTACTCTGTCCAAGGTAAGCATGCTAATGACTTTGTATACACCCTTCATATTTTTTTCCATGCACATATATTGACATATGCACTTATGTAGAGATATATGTATTTAAACATACATATAAACATAAACATAGACACAGGCTTTGTCATTGTTTTTAAAAAATAAGATCCTATTTGATACACATTTTTAACACATCGTGTTTTTCTCAGCAATACCCCATGGGAAACCCCTCCAAGGCCCTTGTTATGACTTAAATTTATTCTTTTGAATAGTTCCAAAATATTGCTGGTATGGCTGGACCGTAATATTTTCAGTCATTCTCTTATTAATTAGCATTCATTTCAATTCAAGCTTTTGCTGTCATGAATGATACCTGCAGTAAACATTCTGAACATATATCCTTACACACTGAGTATGTTGGGTTTTGATCTTTTTTATTTTTTGAGACAGAGTCTTACTCTGTTTGCTTGGGCTAGAGTACTGTGGTGTCATCATAGCTCACAGCAACCTAAAACTCCTGTGCTTAACTGATCCCCCTGCCTCAGCCTCCTGGGTGACTGGGACTACAGGAGCTCACCATTGCTCCCAGCTAGTTTTACTATATTTAGTAGAGACAGGGTCTCACTCTTGCTCAGGCTGGTCTTGAACTCCTGAGCTCTAGTGATCCTCCCACCTTGGCCTCCTAGAGTGCCTGGACTACAGGTGTGAGCCACCGTGCCCCACCCTTAGTATGTTTTTAATAGATGTTGCTAGATTGTGTTTCAGAAAGTGTAACAATTCACATTTCCATAGCAACTTATAAGCCTTTCCCTATATCTTCACTAGCACTGGGTATTATCAGTGTTTTTAACAAGGAAGCAATGGCTTATTATTATCTAGTTTGTATTTCTATGACTACTGGTGCCCTTGAACATCTTTTCAGATGCACCTTGGGTTTGAATCCCAGCTCAGCCTCTCAGTAGCTATGACTGGATAAGTTATCCAACTCCTCACATGAGGTTCAGAGATAATTAGAAATAATATTTATGCAAAGTGCATGTTTGTTGGTGATTTGGGTGTGTACGTCTAGAACTTGCCTCTCCTGTCCTTTGCCCATTATTATTATTTTTTTTTTGAGACAGAGTTTCACTTTGTTGCCCAGGCTAGAGTGAGTGCTGTGGCATCAGCCTAGCTCACAGCAACCTCAAACTCCCGGGCTCAAGCAATCCTTCTGCCTCAGCCTCCCAAGTAGCTGGGACTATAGGCATGTGCCACTATGCCTGGCTAATTTTTTCTATATATATTAGTTGGCCAATTAATTTCTTTCTATTTATAGTAGAGACAGGGTCTCGCTCTTGCTCAGGATGGTTTTGAACTCCTGACCTCGAGCAATCCGCCCACCTTGGCCTCCCAGAGTGCTAGGATCACAGGCGTGAGCCACTGCACCGGCCGCCCATTATTTTTTATTGGGTTGCTGATCCTGCTCTTATCAGTTTGACTTCTTTTAGAGAGAGGCAGATTCCTTTGTCCTCCCCCCCACCACCACCATTTGACAAATCTGCATTTGTTTCTTAGCTACACAGCTTTTTGCTGGGATCATGTGCTGGGCTCTTTTTTAAATCTTCATTTTTCTGCTTTGCTTATTTAAGTGTATTTTGGCATATGAATTTCGAGGCTCCTCAGATATCTGGTAAACTCAGTGGCACTTCGTTTGGCTATGGGTGACCAGCACTTCAGTGGGAAAAATGAAGCATGGGGCATGGGAATGAGACCAACAGAGTTTGCTGTAACACTGCAGGTATAGATGCCACACGCATTTTTTCCTTCCCTATTTGTGTGATGTGATTTATTGTTGCACAAAAACCATCCCCAAACTTAGTGACTTCAAACAGTGATTTGTTGTCTTTCATGATTCTGTGGATTCACTGGGCTCAGCGGGGTAGTTCTTCAGCTGATGTTGGCTGGGATCACTCATTTGACTGAACTCATCTAGCCAGTGGACTGGGCTGGAAGTTCACACACCTGGTGACCCAGTGGCCCCTGTTCCGTGTAGACTTTCACCATTCAGTTATCTAACCCGGGACCTTTTACAGCAGGTGACTGGCTTCCCAGAGAGAGGAAGCAGAAGCTTCCAGTTCATTCAAGGCCTGGATTCAAAACTCTAAGAATGCCACTTCTGCCGCGTTCTGTGAGTCTAAACAGGCCAAAAGGCTGGCCCAGGTTCAAGGAGAGGGAAATAGATTTCACTCCTTCGTGGGACAGTGGCATGACCTGACAGATAAAGGGACTTGGAGGCCATATTTGGCCATATCTACTACCTTCCCTCATTGCCTCTTATTTGTTCCACAGCAATGGAATTGTCAGAGTTTTTGATTTTTACTAGTATGTTGGCTATAAAATGACCGAACCATAAACTTGGACTGGTCAGATGAACCTTGGTTTGAATCCCAGCTCAGCCTCTCAGTAGCTATGACTGGATAAGTTATCCAACTCCTCACATGAGGTTCAGAGATAATTAGAAATAATATTTATGCAAAGTGCATAGCTAGGCATCTGGAACTTCAGAGATGCTCAGTGAATGTCGCTCTTCCACGTCTTCCTCCCCACCTCCACCTCCAAGAATCATATTATTCAGCACGGAAAGTGCATCATCAACCTCTGGACTGAGATTCCACAGCTGTTCAACAGCTGCACGAAACAATCACAGAGGACAGGAAGGAATCAGGCTGCTGCAGCTCATTACGACTCTGCCTCTAGTTGGGTTGTACACAGTGCTCACGCGGCAACAAGGGATCTTCTTGGGCTTCTAGGGAGGATGATGATAGCACTCCCCCACCACATCCCTACACCCTCAAAGCTGGCTAAATCCATGGTCTGCAGCCCCTCAAAAGACTGGTTTGTTTGAAGAGGAAGGTGAATGTCAGGCCTAGACCAAGCTCTCTAGTCTGTGTACCAGCAGCAGACAGGCAGGGCTGTAAAGCATCCAGGGCAGTCCCGAGGATGGAGGAGACCCCAAGGTCAGGCAAGGCAGGCTCTTCTAGCACATCCCTCCATCCTTCCCACCCTGTCCCTTCAGGACGCTGCTGAGCACCAGCCGGGAGGGCCTCTTATTTCTGTTTGAACTAAAGATAAGACAAGTTGTGTCAATCTCAGATTCCCCTTTAATCACAACTTGCTCCTCCTGCCACCCCTGAAAGAAGAGACCGCCCAGGCAGGAGAAAGCATCTGAGGGAGCCCCAGCGTGCTGGTTTCAGCGGCAGGTTTATTTCCTGGCTTTATGTGGCTCCCCTCAGCCCTGACGGTGGGGATTTATGCCTCCAGCTTTGGGGAGGGGTAAACTGCCGAAATACTCACTCAGCATCACTCCCACCCCCCAGTAGACCCTTTGGTCAGAGGATCTCCCCACCCTCCCCAGAGGAGAACACAGTGTGCATTTCAGGGCTGATAATGGGATTAATGAAATGGAGTGTGCAACTGCTCCATGGATGAAGCTGTGGCTGTTTTGATAGAGCCTGATTTCCAGAACCGTATTCATAAAGAGAATGGACCTTTCATTTTCAGTAACAGTCCCCAAGGGCTTTGTGCTGAAGCAACTAATAATGGAATCAGATTGAATTAGAGAACAGACATCCGAAAAATGTGGGTGCAAAACACCACTCAATGCTGGAATCCCTGATGTTACTATGTCAGTGTACCTGGTATAACCACTGAGCCCGGTGAATTTCAAGCTCTCTTTTTAGCCTGTTCCTAATGCAGACTTCCATGGCTTCTACGGCAGCTGACATGGAGCCCTGACTCACCGCAGGCGTTTGACGTTCATTACCTGGTTCGGTGCAGCCTTGCAGCAGGAAG